TGACATTTCTCCTTTGTTTTTACAGCACACACAACAAACAAAAAAATCAATGCTTTCTCTCTCCACACTTGGATAAAAAGGATAATAAAGCAGCAGGCTCACAGTGCTGCATGATATTGATTGTGGAGTCTCTCAAGATAAATTACTAAGATTTAAAATTATTCTTGGTAAGCCAGCACTACATATTTTTTTATCAGTTTTCACTGATAGTCACATTTGAGGGAATGTGAGTATCAGTACATGAGCTAAAATACATTACACTGGGGGTAATTCTTTGTAAAACTCTTCAATGAATAATGCACTCAAGGAGCACATTTAAAAGTGAATATATTTAATATTTTTTTCTGTAGAGAAAAATGGTGCACGTTTTCTAATCAAATTCATTGAGACACTCCAATACTTGCGTAATACCTGGACAAATACATTGAATAGATGTACATTTGCTTGCAGTTTTTAGCAAAAGAAAAATTTAGGACAAGATAAAAGAAAGAAAAATTACTTTATTTTTATTAAAAAAATAGCTTTTCAAGATAGGCCTTTTGGGTGAATATTATAGTACAGGCTAGACCTAACAAGGATTATTTATGAAGTATATTTATATTGTGTTATATTATTTATATTGCTAATATTATTGCTTAGATATTGTTTATATTATTGTTTATAGTATGTTATATTATTTATAAAGATTGTTTTGAAAAGAAATTAAAGATAAGAAATTTTTCTGTGCCATCTTAAAGGGCAACTTTTTATATGCCACCTTGAAAGGATTGCTTTAAGAGATATTTAAATTTGAAGTTAATTTCAACATGAATGTATCTTAGCAACTTTATTTTCACAGTAAAATTCTAATGAATCATTAGCTGCCACTTAAACGTGTACAAAAATAATTGAGTCTTATATGTTATAACTGAAAATTTATTACAGCCTTTAACTCGGAGGAAAATGGAAAACACACAAAGGTTTTAGCGGGCTGCAAGGGGTATATTGCTGACTATTATTCTATAAAATAAATTAAAACTGCTATCAAAGTCTAACTATAATTCATCTTGGGGTGTTTTCTGGTCTGCTAAGATTCTTATCACTACCAACAGCAGGCCATGAAATGTTTAATATGGTATCTGTATCTTTCTCCTCAAAGGACGTCGTTAGCTCACAAAAACACTCAAATTCTAGCTCCAACTCTCCAGAATTTTTACTTCTTTTGCTTTGCAATTATCCTGCAGGAAATATTTCTATAATTCCAAGGAGACTTTGGATTTCTAGAGGGGTGTTGGAGGCAATGCCATGTAGAGACCAGGGGATGTCCTGCGATCCTCTGTTCCTCGCCGTGGTGCTGGGCAGGCACCACGGGGACCAAAAGTGACAAAAGTCCTCAGGAAACGGCCCCGGCAAAGGCGTTGTTTAATGTGGATGCTGAGGGAAGTGCCACGGAAAGCATTTATCAGGAGCTTCCATCCAGAGAGGAAATATGTTGTAGGGAAAAATGCAACTATTACTCAGCAGGCCAAGGGCAAAGGAAATAGGAAATGGGTTAGAGAGTTCTCTGAAATAATCTGTCACTGAAACGTGAGAAAACAGCCCCGTGTGCTGCCGGTCCTGCTGGTTTAAAGCCTTCCACGAGTCAGGATCCGTCTGCTGCCTTGTGCCATTATCTGAAAGTTGGCTCCTTCCAATTCGGGCTTCTTCAAGGTAGGATAAAAAGCTTAATTTGGGTCTTATCTTGACACATCGTTTGCATGTTTATTATTTGAGCCTTTGGAGTAACTCATAGGAAAGTCGTGAGCTTATCACGGAAACAATACATCTCAGAAATGCTGCAAGGGTTGGCTTTGGGGCTTTGTACAGCCTGCACAGAAATGCCAACGAGTCAGCCAAAATGTTTTAGGGATGTCAGAGGGACAGAGCACAGCTCTGGAGGATGCCACCTCGGAGTCTGCCAGGGCTGGGACAAGGGGTGCAGCAGTGCTTTTGGGAGCAGAGAGGAAACCTCCTCAAATGCTGCCATGAGGGGATAGAAAAAGAGATGGTGTTCTGAACTCTGCATTTTTAACTTTGAAATACTCAACTCTGCAGGTACTAAATCTCAAGTACGCCTTCATTGCTGGTAATAAAGGTGCTTGTATCAATGAAGACAAAATAGATACTTATTAAAATTTGATTTTTGATGTTTTTATGATAATAATGTTGGTCAAATGAAGAGAACAGTCAGTCTTTACACAAAGGGATACTAACACTCCTTCCTTCAGACAGATCTTGTGTTCTCCCCATTGATTAAAAAAAACCGCAAACAACTTTCTCAAAAGAAATCATAATGGCTGCAATTAGTGTTGCATTATCTTTTGAATTCCAGTATCCTTGACTTCCTATTCAACAAAATATTACTGAAATTGTAGCAATTCCCTAGGTTTGACAGATGATTTCCATGCTTATCTGAAAACACAGCAGGAAAGAGAGAGAAGTGCATTATATGGAATATTCACACTAATTCCAGATATCAATAATATGAAACAATGCTCTCTAGGTGCTTCAGCAGAGAAGAGAGGCCCCTCCAGAGGGTGATTTAGAACAAGCAAATTAGACTCTCTGATGTGAATGGCACTCAGAAGGCTCGTGAAGCCAGGCAAAGTGAATATGTCCTACAATGGATAGGACATATGCTCCTCTCAAGAGCATAGGAAAAAAATACAAGCCAGGAAGAAGAAGTACAGGAGGAAGATAATCAGCATGATTGCAATCTTGCACTCAACTGGGTGCTTGCCTTTGTCTGTCTGCTCTCCTGTCTCCATTGTTCACTCTCCATATCTTTACCCTCACACTGCTTTCTGTTTTAAACTACAATACCATGTGTTCCTCACCACTTCCTTAATTTATAATGTAGATAAACAAATGACTTCATCCAAAAGGATTCCACTAGACAGTGTGCTCACACGCCTCAGTGCTTACCACATCTCTGAAGGAGACTTTCGTTTTTTCTCAATGAGCAGAGGAAGTGGATCTTACAAAGCATCTCCTCAGTGAGGAAAACACAGGTTAAAGTTATCTCATTCATAAAGGTTGATAACTACAAGAATGATAAAATGACCGTGGCTGATGCAGAGAAATTTTACAGTAAAATAGTGAAAAGCAACAGAATTGAAAAGCAGGGCACAAGTGCAGAAGAAATTTCAACTTAGGTTGGCTGAAAAAGGGCGAAGGAATGACAGAGATTAGTCAGGAGATGAGATCAGAAAGCATTAAAAACATTCTCAGGTATTTTTAGTGATAAAGACATTCTTGGCTTTGTTTTTATTTCTCTAATCGATTGTGCTTCCCTCTGCAACACTGTGGGGACTGGGAGGAGTTCCAGTTGTGTGTGGCTGGAGCTCTGGGCACACAGAGATCCTGCCAGGAGCAGATGCTCCGTGCTGGGCTGGGCATCCTGGCTCTGGGAACACCTCCAGAGGCAGCTCAGGAGAAGAGCTGAGAGCCCAGTGCCCACCCTGGGGCTGCCAGAGCTCTGCCCTGGCTGCTTCTCCAGCTCCTTTTCCTTTGGGAGGAAGGCTGAGAGCACAGGGGAGCAGGGCACCCCACAGGTGCCTGGGGTGGAAGCAGGATGCAGACACAGGACTGGAGAGCAGACACAGGACTGGAGAGCAGACACAGGACTGCAGAGCAGACACAGGACTGGAGAGCAGACACAGGACTGGAGAGCAGACACAGGACTGGAGAGCAGACACTGCCTCCAGGGCTGCTCTGAAGCTCAGATGCAGCAGGTGATGCCAACAACTCATTTCCAACAACGCTCTGTTGTGAATGGAAAAGATGAATGGAAAGGATGCTGAAGCAATTTTCATACTGCACTTCTTATTTTTATTGTATAAGTCAAGTGGCTTGGCAGCAAAAAAAGGGTTAAGATGAATACATGAAGAAAATAATCCAATTGCTTCCGAGATTCATGACTTTTCTATATAATTAGATAGTTCTGCCTTTTTTTAAGCATTGGGTACACTAAAGCTCTGTAGGTAGTGATGACAGCTGACTGTACAAACGCCTGCATGAAGTGAGAGATCAGATCCAGAGATTTCTTTAGGAGAGCTCATTCCAAAAACCTCCACCACCTTGCTGGCAGCATCAATAAAAGGCACTGCTCTTGCCTAATTTGCTTGTGCAGTAGAGCTGATCCCCATTGGAACACATTTGGAGAATAAGGGTGGGAATATCACAGGGAGAAGGAAGTTTGCAATCCTCTTGCTCTTCCTGTAAATATTGCATGGATATCTAGAAGATTTAGATTCAATTGTAGAACAACCTGTCTGGTTATTTTAATTTTTTTAAGCAGTTAATGAATTCTGCTATTAAGTGTTGGTAGACATATTGTGACATCTGCTGAAAAACAGCCAATATCTGTATTGCTTTGTAATCCTAGAATCAAGATATTTAACTATTTTTGTTAAAATCTGAACAATTTCAGACTGCAACAAGAACATACTGCCCTCACTCACACTGTCAAAGACTTACCAAAGAAAAAATACCCCTGAGAAAACCCTGAGTAGAGCAAGGTAATGCATCATTTTAAGTAGGATTTTTACAAACCATGTCTAATAAGTATTATGTACTCACAGGAGCATACTCTGGGGCAGGAAAACAAGAACTAATAACTTTTGAGGAAGTGACCATTTTCCATTTGGAAACTGCTTTTTAACACAGCTACAGCCTTACAAAGCAAGGGACCTTAACTCTGTCTCTTCTGATGAGACATAATTGATTTCAAGCTAGATGGGGTCAAATATATTCTGTGCAAATACAGAAGACAAAAATAATGATGCCAGGATATGTGAAACAGCTGAATCCACAGATGCCCATTTTAGAGAACAAATACCAACTTACTGTGGGCTACAGAAAAGGCGAGTCATCTTTATCTAATACATACATATGTGAGGATATATAGATATTATGAAATTATTATAAATTTATAAATTATTTTTAAAAGTTTTCATTGCCCACTTGGCCATAGAACATACCTGGGTAAAAACAATTCTCATGGCCACTACATGTTGAGTAGCAGTGCTCAAAAGGTTGATGCAATGAGTCTTCAAGTCAAACAGATAAGGCAGGATTTCACTACTTGACTACAATATCAAAAATAAAATTGCATAATGTGAAGTGTGCAACACTTGAATGTTTTGCTCAGAAAAGGAACAGGGCTGTCTGCTTCTGTTTCACTTAAGAAAATGTGAAGACTTTACATAAAACCTTGTTTACTACATGTGGGATAATTAGCTTGTCAAATATTAAGACAGTGTCAGTTCTGTTCCATTAGCTAGCTGAAGATACTATAAATTACATGGAAAATGTCCAAGGAATAATAATATCAAGGAACACCATGCCCTGGAGGAGCTTTGGTGATGGTTTTCTTCCTCTCCCTCGCTGTAAATCCTCTGCAGAGAATTTTTAGACAGAAAGGTCCCCAAATTTAGCCCACAGACTGGAGTGTAAATACCCAGAAGGGGAGATCAGCTCCATCAAAGTCTGCGTGTCATATTCTATTTACAGCCCGACCCAGAGGCTGATGGTTGGGATAACACGGTGCAGAAGAGGCTGAGCAGGGCCAGTGGGATGGAGGAGCTGGAATCCTCCTTTCCCTTCCCACAGCCCATGGACACACATCTGCCACAGCAGCAGGGCCTGGCCAGAGCTCCCTCTGTTCCCTGCACCAAAATGCAGCTTAGCACCTTCTCCCAAACGCTCTGGAGTGCTCAGCACAAATAACTGCACTAAAAATAACCTGCAAAAATATGCACCAGGGAAAAAGGCAGCGTCTCAAGGCAGCTGTCTGCTTGGCTCTGGTGGAGCTCTAGGAAATCTCAGAGAGCTGGCTTACTCTCAGAAATGAGCAGTGGGATGGTTTTGCTCTGTAACTCCGTTTAAAGAGGCTAGATTGATACAAATAAAAGCAAATAAAATTAAAGGTTACAGCATTTTTAATGCTCTTCGTAAATTTTGCTGTTAAGTGATACCAATAGTCATAAATAGGTGGATTCAAAAGTCACTGACAAAGGGATAAATCCCTTTAACTGCAGCAATTCTGTGGGGCCTTTTTCTTGGGGTAAACCTGTATTGTCACAGTCTATTTCATGGATCTTTGCAATTACATGTGTAACAATTTAGAATCAGGGAATAATTCAGGCTGGGGACATTCTCTGAAGGTCCCAGCCCATCTAGCCCAACCTCCCTGAAAGAGGCAGGGTCAACTATGAAATGCTAGTTAAAATTGAATTTTAATAAAATCAGATATACAAAGACTTATACAGTAAGAGCAGAAAGATGATACTCCAGTAAATACTTCCATATCAGATCTTCAATTAGTAACATTTAACAATCATTGGGACACTACCAATATTAGGGAAAAGAATGTTTTCTATAAAATGATTGAATTTTTTTTCTATTTATCCATACTTTCCCAAGCATAAGAGTTGGGAACCGATAATCTACCTGGTTTGCAGTCCTCTGGAGGAAGCAATGTGGAATCACGAGGAATGGATTATTGTGTCTGCTCATGACTGATCCAGATACATCCACGGAGTTTGGTCTGGCAATAACGGAGAAAATAGCTTGAAAATATCACATTTTGGATGTGGGCTGAAAAGACTGATAGTTTCTAGCAGAAGGAAATGTTCTCCCTCTTCTTTGAACTACCTCAGGCCATGCATTTTTGGGGAGCAAAAGAGTCTGTGGTTGCCACTGACAACCTGGCCCACGAGGATTTGGTGTGGCTTTGCTGTCTGACAGGGTGAGGTACAAAGGAATGCCAATGCCTCCCAAACCCAGCAAAATCCAAAGAGAAAAGCAAACTGCAGTGCTGATAATATTTCAGCTTTTGGTTTAAGGGATTTAAGGATCTTAACTTTATAAAAATGTTTTTTAAAATTCCAATACTAAAAAGTGTAATTACAATTCCAATACTCTCAGCTCCAGTTTTTGCTTTTTTTTCTCTGTGCCTACTGTTCATGCTGTCAACACTTGTCTGGTTCATTTTGGTGTCTGAGAACTCTCAGAATTACAAAATAAATGTACTGTATCAAAAAGCTTGAGACATGAAGACTTGTACAACAGCTTGTATTACACTACATCAAAATGGGAAAGAATTTGTGACACCGTTATCAGCTTGTGAGAGCTGATATTGCACACAGGGAGTCTCTGGAGATACCAGGAGGGATTGAAGCTGCTCCTGTAATCCAGCAAGCTCAGGTCAGAAAGCTCTGATAGGCAGAAGTAATGGTGCAGAGCAGACCAGATAACCCCCAGCAAATAAATAATTTGTGTGGCCATAAGGAGAAACTCTGTAAGTATATGGGAAATATTAGATCCTGTCCTCATTTCCATTCTTGATTTGGGAGGCATAATGAAAAAGTATCTTTTAAAAAAATTAGAAGTTTTTCCATATGCCACTTTTGAATGTTGACTTGATTCATCTGTCAATAAGTCAAATGAAAAAAAGTGGTTTTTTTGTTTTCTGTACCTGACTGTTCAGTGAGGCTTGGGTTAAAGACGTTCCATTGCCTTGTGGGGTGAAATTCATAAGGATGCATCTAATGATCTCTTTTTCCCTAACAGCTTAAACTATTTCCTTTTCCCTCAAGTCCCTCTAACTGCTCTTCATTCGGACTTTACACAAACTCTTTCCCCTCCACTGGCTCAGAACCTTGTCATCCCAAATCCCTCAGGACACCACTTCCCTTTCAATTTACTGCCTTTCTCTGCTTTCCTGCCTCATTCTCTCCATCAGCCCTGCAAACCCTTCCTCCTTTCCAGCTGCTCCTCAGTGGGGACAAGCAGTTGGCAGAGGAGGGGAGCCAGGACAGGAATGCCACATTTTCTGCATCTTTGACACTTTTACAGACCCCTGACCACAGTAAACACTTGGTGTGGCTGAAGTGCATGTGGAGTGATTGGCAATGAGCTGTGAACTGGGACAGTCTTGGGAGGAACAACCACTCTCAAGTTGAACAGAGGTAGAAAAGACATAAGAAATAATTCTTACATAACCCTAGAATATGTCTGGAGGCTTTTTTGAAACATGGTTTCAGTACTTTTTCAGAAATTCAGTTTCTTTGCTGACAGCAATATTTTTATCATTTGCACCACAGCTTTTATTATTCATCTAACTCAGTTATTCTGAGTTATTATTATTATGAGTTATTCATATTTGGATGTTTATTCATCTTGTATGGATTAGAGCCTTTCACTAAGTGTTAATTAAGAATTTGAATATATAACTTAGTTTCCTAAGCAGATATCCAGCACAAAACCTCTACTAAAGAAAGGAAAATCTGCCTGGTTTTAAAGAACAGCAGATCAAAGCTGCCTGAGAAAAGGAATGGTGTCTTGTAAGAGGACTAGGATTGCTTTCCAAAGGCTACTCTTAATCCTTTCATATAATATTCATACATGGAAGTAAACTCAGGTCATGCTTCAAATAACTTATTTCAGAAATTAAGTTCTGAAGCCTAACTTGAATATTTGTCTAAAAATAGTAAACACGTGACCACAAAAAGCTTAAAGCTGAGTTCCTTTAAATCCTAATGCATTTTGGAGTATTATTGGAGAAGGTCAGAAAAAAAGGCCATGGAAATGAATTCAGTGTTGCTGATATAGTTTGATGACAGATATTTTTTTAATACATCAACTTCAAATAATTTTTGAACGTGACTTTAATGCACCAGAAAAGCTCTGCACAAGTTGAGATCTCTAACTACACAAAGGGCAGGAGCTCATATATCTGGTGACCAACATCTTCAAGGCTTGCAAATAACGACAGAACAGGAACTGGACAAAGCTGGTAAAACTGGAAAATATAGGAAATAAAACGACTATGCCTCCATTTCCATTTCTAGTGACACAAAATCTCCTCCTAGACAAGGGACTGAATTCATAAGACATGCCATGGTGTCACCTACTAAAGACACTAAATGCTTTAACAGCAAGTTAGGAACAATCATCCCTGGATCCTGGATACTTATTCTCATCCTAAATCTGTTTTGTGAAGCCATTAGCTCAATCCATTCAGTCAGACAAAAGTTATAGCAATTGAAAAATTATAAAAATATGACTGAGTTCTCTTATTCACCAAAAGAAAGAAGCAGAAGAAATATATCTTATATGAAATTTACTTCCGTGTTATAGTTTAGTGTTTGGAAACATCTTCATAAAGATTATTTAAGTCCTATATTGCTTAAATAGACACTGAAAATTATTTTGCTGCTATCCCTTACTGAACTGCTGAAAGAGAATTAGCTTCCAAGAGGAAACAAACAGTTGGAGGCTTTATTTGAAAATCTAAGAAATAAGAAGTCAGTCATTTAAGGAACCATTTTCTCTCCATCTAAACAACTCAGTGATACTTCTTTCAAATATATTTTGTTTGAAGAAGTATTTTCTAGATAAGAAAGAACCACTTGTCTTTCATCTCCTTGGTTCATAGGCTCCTTCAGTAAATTTTTCCTTCAGCATTTTAATTGGCTCCCAGTACTGTTCCTACTGAGGGAAGCACTAAATCACAATAGATTTATAAGTGTTATAACTATATTTTAAGAGGTACCAGTGGGTTTGTTATTAGTATTCTGCTGTAACAGGAAAAGGACTAGCTCAAGAAACAAAAAATCTGATGTCTTTGTGGCACACGAGGCAGACCCAGGACATGGCAGCAGGTTTGTGAAACCATTGCTGGGTGTGCCATGGTCCCTCTCATCCCAACCCTGCCCTGCTCAGAGAGCTCCTTACCCCCCACGGAATTTAAACCTTCTGCGAGCTCAGCGTGAGCAAACCAGGCTCTGAGAGCAGCTCCTGGCTGGGACAACAAACCCAGCCCTTCACAGCCCAGCTGCACCCTCACCTTGGCCAAGGATGTGATACATCCATGCAACAACAGCCTAAACATCATCCTGCCCTTTTTGGGGGATCTTTTTCCCCAAAACATGCTCCTGCCCGTGTGCAGCTGACAGGGTTCTGTACCTCCCCCAGCCTGGGCTGTTTTGGAAGCCAAAGAGATGCATGTCCCTGTGCAGCAG